ATTGAAAATCAATGTAATTTACCATATATCTACATGATAATCTATGTAGAAAATTCTATAGAATTTACAAAAAGCTACTAGAATTAAGTGAGCTCAGGAAGAGTATAGAATACAAAATCAATACACAAACTTAACTGTATTTCTATATGCTAGAAATAAACATTTTGAAATGAAAAAGAAAACCAACAATACTATTTGCATGTTTTTTCTATTTACCAAGCTGCCAAAAACAGAATTTGAAGTAGTAACCTTGATTTACCCCTTTTCCTCATGAACTCATTCTATCTGAATCAAATCAGCCAGTCCTGTTGACTATCTCCTAACTTACCTTCTTTTCTTCATTCCCCACAGCCAACCACTACTTTCTTAGTAATTTCTTTATTCCAACAATCTCCCAACTGTCTATTAGTTACTGGCTACACTATAACCAAAGGGATATGTGTAAAATACAAGTCTTATGTTTAGTCATATAAAAAAAATTCATGTTTGATTTTATCATGGATTAAAAGGCATTTTATGATATCATGTACTGCTCAAACCTCATCTTTTACCCCTTCTACTTTTATTAAATAAAAGTTTAATACTAAAACTTTTTTCCAGTTCTTCAAATTCAGCATTCCTGTTTCTTCACTCTTGATCTCGGCATATGCTCCTGCTTCTTTCTTAAACACTTCGGTATACCCCAGGTCTCTCTGCCATTCCCTCTCAAAATACAACAGAGTTAAAAGAGACAAGAAGCAAAAAATACCAGTTAGCAGGCTACCAAAGAGGATTACACAATAGGTAAATAAGAGCTTGAATTAAGATATTACAGTAGAAACATATGAACAGATAAGAAAGAAATAGTGAAATATATGAAATAAATTTAAGCATATTAGCAACCATGTACTAAAACATGGCTTGTTGAAATAATGGTCAGCCTCTATGTGACTTTTCTCATATTTATTCAAACCTAACGTGATAAATAATATAAGAATTGAGTTATATAAAAGAAATATTGAAAAGGTAAATAAAATTATACCAAATAAATTGTGTCATAATTTAGTAGTGTTAATTAACAGTATACTGCATTAGAGTAGTGATTTTCATAATATGGTTCCTTGGACAAGCAGCATTAGTGACACAAGGGAACTTATTCGAAAGTAATTTATTGAGTTCCACAGTAGACCTTCTGATTCAGAAATCTCTAGGCATAGGTCCCAGAAATCTGTATTTTAAGAAGCCTTCCAGTTGTTTCTCATGCAAGCTGCGGTTTGAAAACCACGGGGTTAGGAGCTATGCAAAGAAGAGTAAACCAGTAAAATATCATAATCCAACAAAAATTCCAGAAGACTGAACGTGCACAAAGATCAGGCCAACAATAATTAATAATCTACCCTCTATCCTACTTAAGAGCAGTATAATTCAATTTAATAAGGAAAGTAACAGTAAATGCACAGGAATAATATAATCTCAAGGCTCTGTTAAATAGCATGCTGATAAAGACCACTAAGAAAAAGCCACCTTTAACTGCTCATAAAATTAAAGAAATAATGCATAATGAATTATAACCACAATATTATTTTCCTCATTAATTCAACATACATTTACTGAATATTACTACTACAAGATATTATGCTAAAAGCTAAAATTGTGATAAATAGGTCTTAAATTAAAGCATGAGAAATTCTGAAAAGTCAAAGCTTTAAGTAATTTTCTTTGTTGCACTGGAACGTATTACCAAGGAAGATTCTAAAGGGAAAGACAGCAATTATTCTGTATTTGTTATTTAATACTTATGAGAAAAAAACAACATGCTAAGTGCCTTTTATCAATTATAAACCCAATTACATTAATTTCAATGTCTAAGGCAATAGTAGTTCTGAGTCTCTAAAACTAATATACAAAAATATGCATAAATATATACATAATATATACATACATGTGCATATGTATATGTAACATACATAAGTTTTAAGATTTAAAAACTCTGAGCTAAAGATAGGTGAGAATTAATTCTAGTAGAATCTTGTTAAATTCCTTTTGATTACTGATAGTAATTTTATTATATGGTTACCTCCTCTCCTTAATATGTTCATTTACTATGTAAATCCTATGCATCCATACTATCATCACTTGGGAAGCAACATCATGTGGTAGAGAGTATAGGTTTTGAAGTTAGATCTGAGTTCAAGTTCTTTCTCAGCTACTTCAGTAGTTTGCATGACATTAAACAAATTAATTGACTTTCATAAGCATTAGTTTTTCATCTTTAAAACTGTTTTAGTGACACTTTCATCATAAGTGAGGAAAGTATTGTGAGAATAAAATGGAATATTATAAGCAAAACATTTAGTTGTTTAACAAATTCACAGATGTTTTATAAATGATAATCCCCTACTCCTTTCTCTTGAAGCACAGCATCTTTTTCCTTCAGTCCGTTAATTATTCTCAAAGCCTTAATTCACACTGACACCTAGAATTGGAACGCTACTTATAAGATTTGTGCTCTTGACAACTAGAAATGGGACACTATTTATAAGATTTGTGCTCTAAAGGTCCTTCTGTGGACACATTTTTGCATCTCAAAAATTCTTCCAAATATTTAAATAATGAAACTGCAGTGCAGCAGACAAGACTAGCACGGGGAGTTAGGAGATCCAGGTCCTAGTTTCACTAATGCCAGGAAGTAGCTTTGGCTTGGGATGATGTCTTATGAAAAATTAGAGTGTAAGGCCAGATAATCTCTAAAGCCTCTTTTGGGCCTTTAAAATTCTGATTCTAACTTTTCTGGAAGAATTACTTTGAATCATAAACAACTGGACTCTTGGAACCTGGAATGTATCTTATTTGAGAAGGAATACTCAAGATAGAAAAGACAAAGAAAGAAAAAGTAGGAGACAGCAAAAAGATCAACCTAGCTACAAATACCTTTTTCCCTACATTCATTCTGGTGTAATTAGCTCTACATCTTTTTGTATATGGTATGTCTTTTTGGATACAAATTTATGTGACAGAATTTTTATCTCTTGTAGTATACATGATCTCAATATTAATCCTTCTGGAGTGCTTCCTGAAAAGGATGGTTTTCATACTTATGGTAGGGACTACAGTGGTGAGTCGCTGGTCTCTTCCTCTTTTGTCATCTTGTCACTTACCCAGTCAATCTAATGCCAGCCTATAGCTAGAGGGTCTGACTTACGAGGGTCAGCAAGATCTAAGAATTATGTATTTTTTCTCTCCATGAGGTATACTTCAATGAGGTATAACAGTCACCTTTCAGTATTTGCTTGGCTCACAATTAAGAAAGGAAAAAAACTTTTTATCTGAGGAATGTGAGCACCTTTAAGGACAAGAAAGGCATTTAAAAAGTAACAGCAGTCACATCTCACTCTCCCTTCAGGGACATAATTACCTCTTGAAGCTACCTGCTATATGGGCTGTAGACTGAAGCCAAGTAGCCATAAAATGTTATACACCCTATAGTTCAACCATGTATAGCCAATCACTAACCAATGTTATTTCTGTAAATCAATGAGAATTCCTGAAGAACAACTTTTGCACTTACTCGCTCTCCTGATTGATCCTGTTTATTCTTTAAAAACTCAAACTTTTCTTATGTTCTCCAGAGCACTCTCCAAGGCAACTTGCAAGTATATCCTGGGCTGAGGTCCTCAACCTTTGCACTTGAATAAACTCTCTTTAAACTACATTCTGACCCTTTTGATTATTTTAGGTTCAACCTGGGAAGGTTGCATTATTGATATTTCTACTCACTTCCATTTTTACATGGGTTTATTTATCAGGAAACAACAGTATAACTCCAGGCCCCTGAAGAAGCTCAGGTCGTCTAGTGAAGGCATCAAAGTATGAGGAAAGTTTATTTTAATTTTAGTTCAGTATAAAAGCATTTATTTTCTCTGAGACTAGCTGGCCCTTGGTTTGTTTTTCTTTGTGCCATCCTCATATTTTTCCATGGCTGGTTTGTGGTACAAAATCAGTAAATGATGTCAAGAAAATAAGTGGTAGTATTTAACGTTTCATATGTAATTCCCACCAGCTAGTCATTCAGAGAACGAAGATCCCAACCACGAGAGAGAGGAAGAAAAAAACTAACTTTTCTCATAAATATTACTTGTATTCTCTATAGCCCTTCTATTAATATAGCCTTATAAACAGATTTCTAAAACATTAATTCAGAACCATTTCTTCAGCCTCCTAATTTTTCTAGAAGTATATGAAATATTCCCTTCAAAATGGAGATCCTCTTACACTAATCAAAAGAATATACTTTATTGTAGAAGTCCCTCACTGTGTAAGCATAGAAATTTACAAAGAATTCAATCAGAATTTGCTTGTATACCCTCTATCTAGGTTCAGAGTAAGGTATATCCTTTAGTGCATTTTGTAACGCTTAATTGTCAAAGTAAACATTTCTATTATTCACATGCTATCTTCTATTTCTATGATGTGATCTTTCTAATTAAAAGAACCACAATTGCAATTACTGAAGAATAAGTAAAAATCCAAGGAGTTTAATGCCAAATAATTGTACCGCTCTGAAATTTAATCTCTATCTTATTTATGAGGGTCTCTGATGAAATTTGGAAATTTGACATTGAATAAATTAAGAATTTTTAATAGAAATAGCTCTCTACAAATACAATAAAAAAACTAATTTTACTTTAGTGCAGACTATATACATCTGAAGGTATTTTAACCTTTATGCCCAATTTCCTCTCTTTCAGTCAACAGGCATAAATTGGACTTTTTAGTTGTCTGAGACACAGAATCAATGAAAGTGACATTACCTGACATAATCATGAAAGCCTTAAAGGTAATAACTTCTGAAAGATTAAAACGTCAAGAAAAGAGGAACAAAAGAAAAAGAATTACCTCTATTTAAGTCAAGTAAAAAAAAATTTCATCAAATCAGTGAATATTGTAAATCAGAAAGGACTTTCTATACTAAACTGAGAGGAAAAACTAAATAAAAATGAAAGATAAAATGTTAAACTTACTGGGTTATCTGTGGAATCATCAGCCAACTGTAAACCAAAATAGTCCTGCTCAGTCAAATCAAGATGCTTGAAGACTATATCCAACAAGACTTGCCCCTGATCATGTTTCTGGAAAAAAAAATTGAATGAAATCAACTTTGATAGGTTACTCACTTTACATTTTTTAACCTGGTCAACTTTTGTCCTCATATATTAACCCATTTATGGCAGAGGTAGCAAACTTTTTTCCTGCGAAAAATCAGGCCTTGGTGATGACCTTGAACAGCAGGATATAAATAACTCCCAGGAGCTTAGCATGCCAATAATGGAGCACTAGGCATAAATGGGTTAACTTGGTAACTGTTTCCATACCGATGACTTGGTTGAGAAAAAAGACCTCACATGTGACACAGTACTTTTAGAAAACAACCTGACCTTAGGCAAACTGGTTTAAAGAGCATACACTACGAAAATATAAAGAAACATTTTATTGAAAATACTTTCCACTTTCAGGCTATCATGGTATTTTTGTTAGTTCATATTATTGCCGCATCAACTCATGTATATTATCTATATCATTTTGTTATGCCTTTTATTTAAATTGTGACTGGAAAGTGATATATTTGGCTAAATATTACTTAAAATATAATTTTGTATTAAAATAAATAATGCCATAAAAGGGGAAACAAAGATGGTAACAATAATTCATAGCTAATTGATAAAGGATTGCTAATATTTTCATTGCCAAAGTACTTAGAGAACTTTAGAAAACTATCTCATTTTAACCTCATACTAATTCTATCATGTAGAATTAGTACTACTATTCTTTGGGGAAGTAACTACAACTTCCCCAAATTCCAAAGCTGTTAAACTGTGGTACAAAAGATATGATTAGATAATCCTCCCCACCAAAAAATATAACTAGTGAGTAAAAACAGACAAATGATCAACAAGTTCAGTTAAAATTAAAAAAGAAACTGGGAAATTATAATGACATGCCATGGGCAAACAACAATCCCCAAAATAAAATCCAATGATAAAAAATAAAGACAAGAAATACTTATTGCTGCTAACATGGTAGAAAGATAGCTGTTGGGAAAGCAATTTGACAAAACAAGCAATAACAATATCAACTACTCTGGCATCTTAATATAAGTAGCAAACAAAATCTAATACTGGAGGAAACTTCTATACCTATCAATAAATTCACTAGAGAAGCTTATTCTTGCTACATTTATATATGACATATATTAGAAACACATGTGCAATGGTTTGAGTTTGTCCCCTAGAATTCATGTGTTGAAAATTTGGTCCCTGGTATGGTGCTTTTGAGAGACAAGACCTTTAAGAGGTGATTAGATCATTTACAGGGATTAATGTCGCTTTCCAGAGACAAGGTTAACTCTCAAGGGAGCGAGTGAGTTCTCACTATCCCAGTACTAGATTAATTACCACAAATGGGTTGGTATAAAGTGAGGTTGCCCCTGGGGTTCTGTCCCTTTTACATGCACCCACTTCCCCCTCTGCTTCTCTGACATGTTATGACACAGCATGCAACCCTCAGGACCGACCAGATGTGGCAATCTGATCTTGGATTTGTTTTCCCAGCCAAAATAAACCTCTTTTTTTTTCAAGAAGTAGTTTCACTCTTGTTGCCCAGGCTGGAGTGCAATGGCACAATCTGACCTTGGCTCACTGCAACTTCTGCCTCCCGGGTTCAAGCGATTCTCCTGTCTCAGTCTCCTGAGTAGCCGGGATTATAGGTGCATGCCATCACGCCCGGCTAATTTTTGTATTTTTAGTAGAGAAAGGGTTTCATCATATTGGTCAGGTTGGTCTCGAACTCCTGACCTCAGGTGATCTGCCCGCCTCAGCCTCCCAAAGTGCTGGGATTATAGGCGTGAGCCACCACGCCTAGCCAATAAACCTCTTTTTAAAATAAATTACCCAGTCTCAGGTATTCTGCTATAGTAACAGAAAATGGACATGGTAGAGAACAGTGATATATTTTACCACTAGTTTTTCTTCTCATTAGCTACAGCAGTTTAGAAACTTCCAGATACCAGTCAGAATTCAAACTTACAGCTGAAACAATAAGGACATATTTTTTTCATATAATAGAAAGTATAGAGGCACAAAAGACTCCAGAGCAAGCTAATTTGGCAGTCAAGGGACATCAAGACTAGGTTTCTTTCCATCATTCTCATCTGCATTCCAAGTGTTGGCTATATTTGTGAGCCTTTAGCAAGATGCTCACGGCAATTCCAAGATTCATACCCACATGTGACGATGTTCAAAAGAACAAGCTCCCTTGTAAAGGTTACCGTACAAAGACTCTTATAGGCCAGAACTGGGTCAAATGGCTACCTGAAAAAAACTCATCAATCGTGGGAAGTATGTGCTTCAAACAGCACTTCCCAATGTTGGCTCCCATTCAAATTGCCTGCAAATGTTTTATAGACTGATGCAGTCTACCTCCCTGACCTGTCTCTCATTCTGATTATATTTGTCTGGGGAAGAGACCAAGCATTAATCTTTTTAAAAAGCTACTAAGGTGAGTCCAGTGTACCTTTGGTTGAAGAAACTATTCTTTCCTCCACTGAATGTATAGATTTATTTCTGGGCTCTATACCTTGGGTTTTCTTTCACTTCCTATATATCACAGACTGGGTACTGCAGAATTCTGTAACCCAGAAATGCCAATAAGTGCTGATGAAAGAGCCCAAGAAAAGCCTGCCTTCTCTAGGAAAAGGACCAGAAAAGGGTACATGGCAGCACAGAAACTTGACAATGCCAAACCCAATGGGAAAAAAACTGGGCCCTTCTCTACTTGTGTGCATGGAAATCAAATGAGAAGCCTAGTTTCATGTGCCACCTGGTTTGAGCAGGCAGCAAGTGAAAAGCCTGAACTTCTACCCACTTCCAAACAGTACCGAGTAGTACTTCATAACATCTCCTCTAGGGTGGTGTAAAGCAGAAGCAGAAAACATATCCTGAACTTTCACTTAGGCTTACTGGTAGCACGAGGTATTAGGCTTCCCTTATTGAGTGGGTATTAGGAGAAGCTGAGGAGGAAGCCTGGACTTTCACAGCTATCATTGCATTGCTGTAGCAAGTCGTGTCTCCAAAACAGACAGGAGGAAGAAGATTTGAGAGAAAAGGTAGATGGAAAAAGGGATAGTTAAATCTTGAAGTGTAATCCTGGATAGGACACTTAACAATGAACTAACTACATTTGAAACTCACCAAAATTTAAAAAGCAGGCCAAGACCTGTATGCTACCAAGGTGACTCCCTACTACGAAGACAATTAAATATTATCCAAAATCTCATAACAAAATGTCTCAAATGTCTGAGATACTATCTAAAATCATTCATTATAACAAGAGCTAGGAAAATCTCAACTAGAATAAGAAAACACAATCAACAGATGTCAACACCAAAATGAATCAGATGTTGGAATTATCTGACAAAGATTTGGAAGCAGTCATCAGAAAAAAAGTTTCAATGGAAGCAACCATTATGAATGTTGTTAAAAAGAAAATTAGAAAAAAACAAAGATTATTTCAGCAAAGAAAGAGAAGATAGAAAAGAACCAAATGCAAATTATATAACTGAAAAATACAGTAACAAAAACGTATTAGATGGGCTCAACAGAAGAATAAACATAAGAAAGAAAAAAAATGATCAATGAACCTGAAGAAAAAGCAATAGAAATTAGTCATTAAGAACAACACTGAAAAGGGCCGGGTGCAGTGGCTCACACCTGTAATCCCAGCACTGTGGGAGGCCGAGGCAGGCGAATCAGGAGGTCAGGAGATCAAGACCATCCTGGCTAATATGGTGAAACCCTGTCTCTACTAAAAAAAAAAAAAATACAAAACATTAGCCGGGCATGGTGGCACACGCCTGTAGTCCCAGCTACCCGGGAGGGTGAGGTAGGAGAATCGCTTGAACCCGGGAGTTGGAGATCGCACCACTGCACTCCAGCTTGGGCAACAGAGCAAGACTCCATCTCAAAAAAAAAAAAAAAAAAAAGAAAAAGAAAAAGAACAACAGAAAAAACAGACTGAAAAAATAAAAGGATGACAACAACCAGACTGTCAGCAACCTGTGGGACAAGAAAAAATGAAGTAGCATTCATTTCACGTTTTATTGTAAAAATAAAATGTTTACAAATTTGGCTCTGTCACCCAGGCTGGAGTGCAGTGGTGCAACCTTGGCTCACTGCAATCTCCACCTCACTGGATCAAGCAATTCCCCTGCCTCAGTCTCCAGAGTAGCTGGAATTACAGGCACATGCTACCAAGCCCAGCTAATTTTCTTTGTATTTTTAGTTTCACCATGTTGGCCAGACTGGTCTCGAACTCCTAACCTCAGGCAATCCGCCCGCCTTGGCCTCCCAAAGTGCTGGGATTACAGTCATGAGCCACCGTGCCCTGCACATTTCTTTTCTAATAGAAAAGCAGCTTGAAAAGCAGCTACTTGGGAGACTGGGAGAGGAGAATTGCTTGAACCCAGGAGGCAGAGGTTGCACTGAGCCAATATCATGCCACTGAACTCCAGCCCGGGTGACAGAGCGAAATTCTGTCTCAAAAAAAAAAAGAAAAAAGAAAAGAAACTCAGGGAGCTAACACTCATCTTTTAACCTGGGATTCTGAATCTCTAAAGGCCTCTGACCAGCTAAAACAAGCCTTGCTTAAGGTACCAGCTCTCAGCCTTCCTGTAGGGAAGGCCTTCAATCTGTATGTATCAGAAAGGAAGGGAATGGCTGTGAGAGTTTTAACAAAGGCTTGAGGACCAGCTCAACAGCCAGTGGGTTACCTAAGTAGTGAACTTGATTTGATGGCTAAAGGATGGCCAGCATGTCTCCAAGCCATTGCCTCAGTAGCTCTGCTGGTTCCAGAAGCATCCAAATTAGCCCTAAGAAATGATTTAACTGTTTATACCCCATATAATGTGGCAATACTACAGTACTCTAGGGGGAGCCTTTGGCAAGCCCCTTAAATATCATGCCCTGCTGTTGGAGGGTTCCAACATCCAATTAAAGACCTGTTCTCGCCTAAACACAGCCACCTTCCTCCCCAAGGAAACAGGGGAACCTGAGCATAACTGTTAACAAGTCATAGT